TGTTATGGCTGCTTCCAGTAGGTGACTTGTGTTTTCTGTAGTTTTACAGGAGAAGCAGAGATAGGTGCTGGTGTTTACTTGGAATGTTTTTGCTGTTTTTTCCTTCTAGGTCCTGTCTGCAGTATATGTGTATCATCTTTTGGAGCAAGACCAGTAGCTATCTTCAGTGGCTTTATGGTGGCTGGGGGCCTCATGATGAGCAGTTTTGCACCTAACATATACTTCCTATATGTTTCATATGGGATAGTTGTTGGTAAGAAACACCTTCCCTTCATTTTGAGACTTAGTCTTTGTTATTTTGAGTGTTGGTTTATGAATATGAAATGGGAAACTCCTTCACAGAGGCAGTGGTAGTCTGGGACTTGGTTTATCAAGGAATACTTTACTTTTGGGCAGAGGGGGATGCTGCATGGGCAGGCTGTTACCATGTAGTAATAGATGAAAACAACATAAATGTTCATGAGGGTTTGAAAACAGTTTGTCCTCTGTTGACATAATTGTTAGAGATGGAGAAGCTGAGGTTTTACCTAAGGGCTGGAATCGAGCAAATCTTCTGCTGGCATGAAATGCCAATCTTAAAGGAATAATATCTCTTCTGGAATTTTGTCACATAATCATTCTAATTTGATAAATTAGGGATCATTAGGGAGCAATGCTGTTCTCCACAGAACTGGATTGAACACAAAATGCTGTGCTGGAGGCATGCAAACGCTGCTCTCCTGGCAGGTGCTGACCTGCCCTCTGTGTGCCGTGGGTGGCTTATCAAATTAACTGTGTCAGGAATTTGGGCACCTCTCTGGCCAGCGGGGCCCGGCGTCGTGCTGGCCGGGCACGGGGCCACGGCCAGGGAGCTCTGCCCAGCTCTGGGGCCAGCCCTGGGCTCAGAGCCCTGTAGCCCTTCCACGGAGCACAGAGCTCGGCTGGGAGCTCCTCAAACCGGCCTGCTCCACCCAGGCTCAGCAGCGGGGACGGCCAGGGAAGGGAGGTGGCACAGTGCTGAGCCAGGGTTAAAGGGTACCTCAGCACTCAGGGTGGCATCACCTGGGGGATTTATTTCCTAGAGGATATAGCATTTTTTATATCTAATTCTTTTTATCCAGGTCTTGGATGCGGCCTTTTGTATACTGCAACAGTTACCATCACGTGCCAGTATTTTGACAAACGCAGAGGCCTTGCACTCGGTCTGATTTCAACAGGTAGGACTTTTTGTTGTCATTCTCTCCAGCTTTTCAGCTCTGATACAGCCACCGTTACCCTGGCAATAAAAACCAGAAGATTATGTTTTTCTCAGTAACTTAAAGTTACTACTTTCTTAAATCAAAATATCAGTAGCAGTGTAGGGGAAAACTGAGGCTTGAGACAAAATAGTAACTACACTTGCAGGTTTATGCTGTGGGCCATCAATATAGATGGGGAAAGGATATTCACTGAAAACAGACTCGTGTAGCTTGGGCTGCATGCCATGGATAATGAGGGGAAACATTCCATAGAGAACTCTTTTTCCTCTTTGTTCTTGCCCAGGATCAGAGGTGAGAAAGAGATTGGAGATGCAGGATATAAATGCTGCATCACCGCTACCTCACATTAGCTGTACCTCTGCCCTTTTTAATGGCCCGAGTAGAACGGTTACAGATGGCTCTTGTGCCATGCCTTGCTTTCTGTGTGCCATGGAGCGTCTGCTCTGACCTCTTTTCTCGAGTAGCTGTCAGTGAGGAGACACAGGATCAGTACAGTCAGTGGTGTGAGATACTGACACCACATCCACACAAGCTGAGTGAACAGGAGCTTCTGCAGAAATGTTTCTTGGGATCATTTACAGCGGCTTTGTTTTGCATTCCAGGTCGGTTGCCTTAAAGCCTTATCTTATTGTGCCCTGGTTAATTTTAGTACTTGGAAGGCAAAACAAGCATGGATTTTGTAATTGATTTTTCCTCTGTTTAGCAGCAGGCAGTCTTCAGCAAATAATTTTAAAGTTTTTCATATAAATTGACTTGAAAACCAATGTTCTGTGTTTGTGAGAGGACACCCACTATTTAAAATGGATATGTGCTCACTTCAACAAAGAGCCTTTTCTTTAAATTACTGGGGTTGCATTAAATGCTTGTGCTCCTAGTAATTTCTCCCTCTTCAGTGTTTTCTTCTGAATGGCCACATTTCTCAAGTGCACATTTAGTCCTGTAGAGCTTCAGAAATGCCTTTGGAGTAAAAAGCATACTCCTTAAACACCAGGCAGTCAGGTGCAAAACAAAGGGCTGTTTCTAGGAGGGGTCTTGGTGAACTGCTGGCCTCTTTCTGCCTGGGAGGAGGAGTGGCAGCAAAGAGAAGAAAAGAGAAAAAGAAGAAAGCAGGAAATTCTGACTGTGCTAACTCAAAATGGTGCTTAGAGGGATACATGTATATGAGTGCAGGGCAGAAGGCTGGCTTATTAGTTCTTTGATGTTTTTAATCAGATATAGTATTGATCCTACTTGTTTGTGAAGCGTCTGCTAGTGTTATTTGTCACAAAGTGTTCAGATATTTTGAGACATTTTTTATGTTGTGACTACTCAACAAAGAAACTGTAACTTCAGGAGGGATGATAGCTTACTGGTTCATTAAACTTGGGAGAGAGGAGCACAAATGGATTACCATTCCTGTGGCAGTGTATTCATAGCTGCTGAATAGTGGAATTTTGCTAGAGTTGAAGAATGGTCTTGGTTCTTCAGTTTAAACCAAACTTATTTTTCTTTTATAGGCTCAAGTGTTGGACTCTTTATATATGCAGCACTGCAGAGAGAGCTTATTGAGCTGTATGGACTGGATGGGTGTCTGCTAATAGTTGGTGCCCTGTCTCTAAATATATTAGCATGTGGCAGCCTAATGAGACCTTTGGAATCGTCCAGTTCTCCTCCACCAGAGAAAATGTTTGTGGACAAAGTCCCAGATCAATATTTTGTTTACCATGAAAAGGAAAAGACCGTGGAAGAAAACATTAGCATCCTTGAAAAGGGCTATATTGATGAAAAATCTGTGAACAATGTGCCTGATTGCAAACAGGATAGCATTTTGAATAAGAATGCATTGAGTTCAATAAATGTAAATGAGAAAGACACTTACAAAAAGAAAGTTGTAGAACAGACAAACTTCTGCAAGCAACTCGCCAAGAGGAAGTGGCAGCTCTATTTGACCTACTGGAAGGAAACCATGGTTCTTTTCAAGAACAAAGTATTTTCAGCTCTCTTTGTTGCCATCTTGCTCTTTGATATTGGTGGATTTCCTCCTTCTCTGCTCATGGAAGATGTAGCAAGAAGTGCAAATATTAGTGAAGATGACTATTACATGCCCCTTATTTCCATTATTGGCATTATGACGACTGTTGGCAAACTTATTTTAGGAATCCTGGCAGATTTCAAATGGGTTAACACTTTATATCTCTATGTAACTACCTTATTAATGACAGGAGTGGCCTTGTTTGCAATTCCATTCGCCAAAAGTTACCTTACATTAGCGATGCTTTCTGGGATTTTGGGTTTTCTGACTGGGAACTGGTCAATTTTTCCGTATGTAACAACAAAGACTGTGGGGATTGAGAAACTGACTCATGCCTATGGGATATTGATGTTCTTCGCTGGACTTGGGAACAGCCTCGGGCCACCAATTGTAGGTAAGGTGTAGGTATAAACTGAACATGAGCTTGTCACAACCAGACACAATGCTTTTGCATCTTTAATAGTTAGGGAAAGATGAAATCAAAACCTGCAACAAAAAATAAAAGCTTTTGTTTTTTGGCCGATTATGTTTGTAATTTGTCTTTGAGGGAAAACACATTCCATGTCAGACAGGTCAAACAGCATTTTAGGTTCGGCCTATTTAATTTTACTTTATTTTGCTATTTGGGTGTTTTTTAATTGCTGTTCTCTATGTTACCAGTGCTGTGTCACGTTTCACTGATGGGCTTCTCTTTTATCCCACCCTCAGGCTGGTTTTACGACTGGACGCAGGAGTACAACACTGCTTTCTACTTCAGTGGCTTTTGTGTCCTGCTGGGGGGATTTCTCCTGCTGTTGGCAGCGCTGCCCTGCTGGAATGCCTGCACCAATCAGAGCTCCAAGCTGCCTCCAAATACTTACTCCTACAAAGTTGCATCTAACGCTTAGGTGACAACTGGAAAACACTTTGCGCCTTTTTATATTATATAGCAAAGTATTTTAGTAATTTTTCACTTATTTATGAAGCCCACAAATCCTCTTTCCACTAGAAAAATTCCATTGTTGCTTGTTGTTCGGTTTCTTCTTCTATTTCTTTTTTTTAATATTATTTTTAAAAACAGTCTTATTTTGTGTACTATGCACCGTGTTTTCAGCCTTTGTCTACTGTAATTTCCTTTCCCCTGTAAAGGGGATGTTCTGCTGTATTATCAGCTGTACTTTTTTTAAGGGGGTTTGGTATGGAGGGGTGAAAACTTTGAAGCAAAAATGGAGGCTTGTTCTTTATAGGAGAAGGCTGGCATTTCTGCCTCCTTCCATAGGTCTCCAAGTTGCACAATTAGGCTTTACAAAACAAGAATTTGCCTTATTAAAATGTAATACTGTGGCAAGGTGCTTTTAACTTCATGCTTAGATTAACTTTTTTGTCTTTTTAAAGTTTCTCCAATTTATGATTAAGTGCCAATTGTGGGAGGGAGAAGAGGGGAAACAAAATCAACCTTGTGTTGCATAACTGAAGTGAACATTATGATGAAAGTAAAGATTCTTATTACCACTGCGACTAAGAACCATGTTTATAAATACTGCACATTTTGTGAAGCCTGTTTATAAAACTGTTGAACCAAAACCTTTTAAAACCAAGGAATAAATGTGATTGTTGAAACCGTGAAAGGAAATGCTGACTTGGTTATGAAGTTCATAATCTTTTTATCAAGGTTGGAGACATGCTCACTGAAGCTCAGAGGTGAGTGTTGCTAAGCAAGGCACCCAAATTCTGGTGGTCCTGGGGGCCTCTCTTGTTGCACAACCACAGTTCAGTGGATTGAAGCTGCTGCAGAAAGCTTAATAGTAGGGCTTTTAACAAGGTAGACCTGATTAAAAAGGGGAAATGGTGACAGCAATGTCATCTCTGCTGTCCTTTTTTGAAATGGATGTAGCAAGCAGAAAAAGCAGTAACAGAGGGCAAGAAAAAGCATGGGGGAGGGCTAGCAGAAGAGTTTCAGAGAAAGCTGATGGGGAAAGAGTTGCAACACTTGAACACCAAACAAGTCAGTGAGAGAGAGCCCTTGAAACCTCTTGTCTCTCTAGCTGCAGGCTACCCCTGCGTGCGTGCTGGGTTTTGCTGGCGTGGCTGGGGAACACCGTGTGATGATGAAGCCTTTCCTGAGCCAGGCAGGTGCTCCAGCAAAGGCAGGATGACTCGGCTGCCTCTGCCCTGCCCTGTGTGCCCTGTGCAATGGCTTTTGCTTACAGAGCTGCTCTGGTGCCAAGGCTGTGTCTGCGTAGCAGTGACAGATCTATCCATGGGTGGCACGTCCTGTGCGCTTCGGCTTCTCGCTGTAGGTCTGACGTTTTGTGGAGAGTGTTGCAAGGTGAGGTGGAAGCTCTGAGCCCTGAGTTACAGCCTGCAAATGCCTCAGTAGCTCTCAGCAGTGCTGTGGGCTTCAAGTGTGTGATATGATTCTGGCTCATGAATAATTCCCAAGGTAAAAGCCAGGCATGTAAGGAGCAGACTGTGCTGTCCAAGTGCTGTGCACAGAGTTACTGTGTTTGCACACCTCATTAAGCAAGAGGGATGCAACATTTGAGTGGGGCAGACCTATGTGTGGGTAATGTTCCCTCCTCTGGTCCAAGGCAGGAAAATCCAGCTTGGCTTCAAACAGTTTTTGCTGTTGTTTGTATTAAAACATGACAAAGATGCAGTTAGTATGTCTCTCTATTTTTTTTTCATCCATTTGTCAGCTGAGTGTAACTACTGTGTGGGTTTTCTTCCTGGTTTGCTTATTCAATGCCTGTGGAAAGAATATTGAGTATGCTGGATAGCCATAAATGCAACTCCAGTCCTAAACTGGAGTTCTGGGTATCTGATTTGGATAAGCACCCATTTAATGTGCTCTTATGGCAGCTGTAGTCATATTTCACCACATGTATATAAAAGTAATACCATGTTTTACACATCTCAAAGAAACTGTGGGGATATCCTGGGTATGATCAGGGCACGTATGCCTTCAGATTCTTCTTTTAAAAGCTCACTTCCAACAATACATTCTGAGCTCTTTAAATATGAAACTGATGTTGAATTAGTGGTTGTTCTGAAAAAACGCAGCTGGAATTAATGCAAATGATTAGGTGGTATGTAGCACACTCTTGCAATGGAAATGGAGTCTATTATTAGGCAGCCTGATATGTGTGGAAATATGATTAGTGATCTGTAACAGTTTCCTGATGTAACCCTACCCAGCAGTGAGGAAAGAGCCCTGACTGTTATTTTATTTGCCACTTCAAGCAATATGTGCTAGGACTCCTTGCCCCAGCCAGCTGAGCACTGTGATTTTATTTATCTTGTCTTTAACTGGTAAACAAGACCCAAGATTTTAATGTTTTGATTTTACTTTTCTAGTTTTGCAGGGCTCCTTTCCAAGAAGATATTTCCAGAGATGCTGGAACTTACATTTTATCTGAGAGCCTTTCCTTCTGTCTTCATGCTTCATTAAAATCACAAACCCATAGGTTCAAATGTGTTTTAGAAGGTGGCAGGACAGGTACGATGTGATAATCTGTGCCTTATTTGCTTGAAAAGTAGGTCATCAGCATTCACAGAGTGGTGTAGGGGTAGGTAAACAGTTCTGCCATGTAGAATTCTGGATTGTCTTGAGTTTTATAGTCCCTGACAAACAGATCTGGAACAGATGAAATGAGATGCTTAAGTAATTACTCTTTATTGTACAAGATAAAGCTATTGTTTATTACATAAATTATTCAGTTACTGTGGAGTCAGTCATGAATAGAACATTTATCTTCTTTTTTGCAGATCCTATGGAAGTTTATAATAGTTGCCGAAACACAAGACAAATGAAACTGTGAAATATTATTAGATTTAAAGTGTACTCTGTGCCTTGCTAAATTGATGGGCTTTATCATTAGCTGCAGAAAGAGATTACATTCCTTTGGTGGCTGTTAATTTTTCTACATCATGCTGATCCTGGATTCCTGCATCCAGCACTGACATTGAACAATGTGCTGAGTAAGAGCTATAAAAATTGATGGAGATGTTTGCATCGCATTAAACTGACATGGAGGTATTTTTTTATTGGAGAGATATTTTATTTCAGGTCATTCAGGAGGGCCTTTCACATACACATATGGTGAATATGTTTGGCTAAGCATGATACCAGACAGATTAAAAATGGCAAAATTAGAATTTATACAGAAATCCGTTTGAACAGGACAGAGGAAGTAGAAAAAGTTGATTTCCTATGAAACAGAATTTCTCAAACTCAGAGGACTCATTTCAGTGATGCTTTGCTGCAGGTTCAATGAAGTTGAAGAGTGAAGTTAAAGACGTCTCAGTCTTCATACAAGAAAAAGTCTTTTTTTTTGGATGAAGGTATTTGTTCTTTTAAATGTTGGCTTTTAAGCAATCAAAACAGTTCAGAGGTGATACACACATGCTCAACTTGAACTGCTCTGTATCATGCAATGACTTTGTTGCAGGAACTAAATCAGAGAATGATTTTAGTTGAAAGGGACCTTTCAAGATCCTCTAGTTTAATCTCTCTGCCATACATAGTGATTTCAAGTTTCTCAGAGTAGCTGCTGTTCCTGGTTTGTTGTCACTTCCATGGCTCTGTGGGGAAGGCTTGACTCCTTTCTTGTATGTCTTCACATTTTCTGCAACAGCATCCCATAGCTTCTTATAAATCTGTTGGTCAGCTTTGACCATCTGTATTCAATGTGTGGAGTACTTGCTTGCTTGGGCTTTTTTCATTAGTGTTAAATAATCACACCAGTCCAAGCAGACTTTATTAGCCCTGGTGCCATTTCATGTTTTCCAGGCCATAGTTTTAAGTTGTGTTTTCTGCCAGTCAAAGTGCTTGCTTAAAGCATCCAGCTGCGTTGTTGTGGGTGCGTTGCTGTAAATGCACTCACAGAACCTCTGAAAATGCTTTTTGCTTTTATTTCCCCCAAGACCAGCTGGATGTTTCTGTGGTGTGAGCTCAGGTGTAACTGCTGGCACAATGTGCTGCATGTGCTGCATGGCTGGGAAGGAGCTCAGGGCAATTCCTGTGTGAGCTGCTTTGCAGTCATGGCCCTGTGCAGTGTGACTGCAGCAAATGCTCTTCTCCTCTGCCTTTGGCTCCAGCCTTAACCTTACCTGGTCACAGTTAAACTTGCAAACTCAATTTCACTTAATCCAAATTAATGTCTTTTCCTCCCTTGTTTCTCTTGTTGCAGGCTGAAAAATTATCTGCCTAACCTATTTTCTCCTTTCCCGTGTCACACAGAGCTCATGTTGAAAAGTAAACACGTTTTCAGTGATTAACAGCAGAGACCAGATGCAGCTGAGTAACAAGATGAATACCTACACCCCATTTTGTAAATGGCCAATGCTCTGACCAACTCTGTATTTACAGATTGTATCTAAATTGCGTGGGTTTTTGTGGTTATAACTTTAAATTTTGATACGTGACAGGCATATCAGGTTGGATTAGGCCATGCTGTCTTTCATTGGAAGCAAATTACTTTGCTTTTTAATTAAAATGTCCCTGGGTTGGAGTGGCTATGTCCCTGCTTTGCATTACTTGGGGGACCATCCTCCCAAACTAGGATAACTGAAATCACCTGGCATGTCTTTCTCAGATTCTATGAATTACAATAAATGCTTTGTATGAGGTTGTGCAAAAGATCAGAAAAAATGCTTAATTAAATAACATTTGCTTCAAGTTAAACAGAGTCATGTGGAGGTACTGTGAAAAAGAAGGGAACAAAAAATATATTTGTGAGACTGGGTTTGACAATCTGGTTCCTCCCTGGTGTATCCATGATATGAAACTATTAGGGAGTCACTCTTCTGGTTGTATGAATTTTAGCTACCAAAAAGATTCCTGGGAGAGAGAGATGGGAAGAAGGAATTCCCACTGAGCAGACCATTACCTTGTTGCTTTAGAACCAGGAGACCTGAATTTTTATATGACAGACTGAATAACTCCAAAGAGGGTTTCATCATAGCTGAAACTGGAAAGCTTGATGGAGTTGCTGCTGCCATCTCAGCTCCTCTGGGGGGAAGGTCTGCATTTTGAGATTAGTTTTTTGAGTTTTCTCCAATTTTGTTCAAGAAGTAGTATCACAAGACTGTATAAAGCAGAGCTTATTGAACATAATAGGAGCGACTCTTTTGAGATGAACCAGTAAGGAGTGGTTCTATGTCATTGGAGAAATATAGAGGGAAAACTGCCTCTGCCTGACTTTTGCGTGGGCTAGGGCAGTGTCCATGGTGCAAGAGGATGCTGAAGCCTCTACTTAGGGTACTCCTCCTTTTTCTTTTCTTTTTTATCTCCACCTCAGGTGCTGTGCAAGAAAGAGCTGGAGAGGAGGCAAGGACTAATCCTGTCTCACTTTTTAACAGCTCTTCAAAGAGGGAATTTTGTGTTGAAAGTGTATTATTTATGAAAAATGGTAGCATATGGTGCCAGAGATAATTGCTTCAGCAAGAGATTAATACCCCATGAGCTGTCTGGAGCTGAAGCTGGAAGCTGAGTTTCCCTTCAGCTGTGGGAAGCTGTCAGAAACCAGCAGCAGTTTGTGGATGGAGCCTCATGGGAGGTCTGTCTTCCTGGGAGGATGATTTGGGATGCAAAAACTGGCCCGATACTTGCAATTTTTGCTGAAACTAATCCAACATTTCAAATTCCCTTTGAAAATGGGCAGAGAGGGAGCAAACCATGATTGCAAAAAATTCTGTGTTACTTTGTGTTTTTCTTTTCATCTTTCTGTTTCTTGGAGAAATTAACCTGGAATCAGCGAATTTCATGATATAGACTGAAATATAATAGAAATACAGACTTCAAATAATTTGTAGGGCCTGAAAAAGAGCTCTACTTTCTTCATTACAATAGTTTTTAGCTTGTGGCTATTTTTGCTGGTGTTCTGCTCTTTAGCAACAACAGCATGATAGTGCCTTTAGATAATGAAGCAATGCTGCATTTTGAATGCTGACTTGTTTTCCCTGGAACAGCATCAAGAAAATGAAGAGGTTTAAGTGCCAGGTGGAGATTAGAGGAAGAAAATGAAATTCAAAACAGGAAGCAGAGAGAGGCAGGCTCCAAAACAACCTTCATGACATTTCACTCCAAGAGAGGAATATTGGCAGTTATCGATCTGTCGCCTGCCAGTCACTTTCCGTTCCACAAAACTGCCAAGGAATTGTGCAGCTTTCTGCAGGCTTTTCAAAAGCCTTTAAAAGAAAGATGATGCTAGAAGGTTTAATGGGCTGGGAAGACCAAAAAAAAAAAAAAAAAAAAAAAAAAAAAAGGCCAGCAAGCAGTCTGAGCATTTGCCTCCCACTGTTTCATTGGGCAGTTCTCCACATGCCTGTAATTCAGCTGCCTGGAAACAGGCTCAGCTGAGCCACCTCAGGACACCAACACATCCCCTGCCAGAGATGGGCTCAGATAGAGAGAAGCAGCTCCAAGGCTGCCAGGTGCTGTGTCTCCAGTGGAAGGAGCCTTGCTGTGACTCAGGGATATCTGCTCAGGCACAGCTCTGCACTCCTGTATGCCTGGCTGCTGGAGAAGGAGCAGCTCCCGTGTGCCTGGCTGGCCCTGGCTCTGCAGGCACACCCATCTCTGCCTCGGGCATCCACTTCCAGAGACCACCTGAGCAGCTGCGAGCAGAAATCAAGTCAGAGGGGACGCTGCTGGGCTGACAAGGGCTTGCCTGGCAGGAGATGTTGTGGCCTGTGTGCTCTTCCCATGGGCACAGCAAAAAGCAGTGCAAGTAGCAGCAGGGGAGAGCTGCTTTCTTGTCAGGACAGCAACTCTTCCTTGCTGATAATTTAACTTGGTGAGTAGGCAGGGTTGGCAATCAGATTGTTGTGATGAAGGATGTGTGGCAAGCAGTCCTTACGTCTCTGCTATGACTTTTACCAGCTGAAATGTAGGAAAACTTAAATTGATACTGTAGTAAGCAAGAGAGAGAGATGCCTCATTTCTTGCCAATGATTACCTAATATGAGACGCATTTTTCCATGTCTACTTCTGTCTTGGTTGTAGCTCTTATTGCTATTTTTTCCTTTTCCTTGAGAAGACCTATAGTTTATCTTTCAGGTCCATACACTATAAAATGTGCAAATTTTCAGAATTTACCAAGTTTACTGTTTAGAGCGGCTCCTGATGAATTGGGATAAAATATACAAATGCTGTGTGAGATGAAAACCTGCTTTGAAAGCCAGTAATACAGGTTTGTCTGACAGAATCTCAGCTGTGTGTATCAGCCCTGACTGTTCTTGGTGATAATTCAGGGATGCTTTTATGGGCTTAGCTCCCAAGGGTTCTCAGGGCTGAGGTAGTGCAACTGATGTATCATAGCATGACAGTGCCTTCCCAAAGCCTGCAGCTGGCATCAGCACAGCTGCTTGCCCCAGTGTTTGCCGCTAATCCAGAGCCTCTCCAGCTGGGTGTAGGCCACGGCAGGACTGTCCACACCACATCCCTGGGGGCACGCACACCCTGCTCGGCTCCTGCCCACCACCAAGGGCTTTCTTTCCTCCTTGGCTGGATGCTTGGAGACTCCTGAAGCTGAGACACAGATCATCAAGTTAGCAGAGCAGGCTGCTTGCAGCTTTGAAGGAAAACTTCAAGGAACCATGAAGCCTCAGTTAATTATTTTTCTTGCTGCTGTTGTTTTTTACTGCTGCCGACAGTGGATTTACCTCTGCCCTCTCTCACAGGGATCCTGCTGTTCCTAATGCTGCTGTGAAAACCTGGTTTTCTAAGGAGCAAAATGAAACTTTTCTGTTTTCCTTTCGTGTTTATCCTTTCTCTATCTTTTTGAAACATCAGCAACCCTCACAAGTAGCCCATTCAGCAGCTGGAGGGGTGGCCCCAGTGGAGAGAGGACAAAGGCAGCCCCTGGAGCTCGTCCAGCCCCTCACACAGCCAGGCTGGGGCACTGCCTTTCCTCACAAGCCTTCCCCTGGGCAGCAGGGTGCTGCCAGACCAAGGGCTTTGGTTTTAATTTAGACGTGGCCCTTGAAGTCGGGGTGGCTTCTCAAAGCACCACACATCCTTTTCATACATCTGAAGTCCTGCAGGGGCTGCCTTTGATCCAGAGGTTGTGAAGGAAGGGTTGGAACTCCAGCTACACAATATGAGCAGTTATATTTAATTTGCGCTGCCTGCAGCCTCCTGCTCTTTGTACAACTGCGATGCGAGGAGAAATCATCCCTGCGGCCCGGGCTGCTCGGTAGGAAAGGAAAAGCCTGCCCAGGGTCGGGCTGTCAGGACCACCTCTCTGCAAGCCTCGTGTGCCCTCTAGCTGCTGCAGGCTCCGGGAACGGGGCTGGCTGCATCCTCCCCGAGCCCTGCCGCAGCTTGCAGGCAGCACCTGAAAGCAAATTCTTCAATAATTGCAGTCACAGGAGCGGTCGAGACCTAGGGGTTGATTGCAGTGGCTGCTGCCTTGTTTGCCCTGCCATGAGTCAATAGATTAAATATGTGTTTGCTGCTCAGGTGGAGAATTTGTTGTTTGAAAGGTGTTTGCGTACAGTTACACGTTGAGCTGAAGCAGGGGGGAGCGACATGTCAGCAGGATGTTTCCTGTGGCACCTAGTAAGATGGAAAATCAAAATGTGCTATGGGGCAAGGAGCAAAGAGTTAGAGAGTTGAATATTTTTGTTTCAGTTTTGTAGGTTTTGCACAGGCCTTTTTGTGATGTGTTTCTCTGCAGAGTGCAGACTGCTGCAGGCTCAGGCATGGCTAGATAAGGTGACTCTGAGTGCCTGGTGCTTTGGTCTGTCCCAAAGGGACCCAGCAAAGGTGGGGGAGCTGCTGGTGCCCCAGCTGCCCTGCAAACACAGCAAATAAGGGTTTCAGGGCAGGGAGGCCAGGCCAGCCCTGCTCATGGGGGCTGCAGGGTAGAGGAGTTGAGTGCAGCAGGGCACACCAAAATGCCCCCTGTGCCCTCCCAGCTGCGAGCACAGAACACCACCCAGTGAGAGGGCACTCACACTGCTGATATGGAGGGCTAACATGCTTTCTTCTCTCTTGTATTGCTCATATTTAGCAGTGTTGAGGTACAGCACCATCAGCCCCAGGACCTCCTGTGGGCCCAGCAGCTTGAACAGGCTGAGCAGCCACAGCTGTGGTGGTGGGCACAGGTGGAGCTTGGCTGCAGGGATGAATCCAGGCTGAGCAGGCACAGCTGTGGTGATGGGCACAGCATTTTTGACAGGCTAAATGGGCACAGCTGTGGTCATGGTCACAGCATTTTTAACAGACTAAATGGGCACAGCATTTGGGCACAGCATTTTTGACAGGCTAAATGGGCACAGCTGTGGTGATGGGAAACAGGTGGAGGTTGTTTGCAGAGACAGGCCAGGCTGAGGCTCTGGGTTGGTGAGGAGGATGTGGATTTTTCTGGGGTTAGTTCCGTAGGTAGAAGAAGGAAGGAAGCCCTAAACCACAGCATTTTGCAGACTTTATCATGGGATCTTGTGGAGAGGTAAGTGGGCTAAAATTCTGCATTAGTTTTTAAGTGGTATTCCTTCTGCTAAAGAAGAGTGAGCTATCTTTGCTACATGTGCTGTACCAATGTGGTGTTGGAGTAACTCCTGCTTTTCTAGTGCTCCACCAAGGGATCTGGCTCAGCACCTCTGTAATTTTTTTTGCCTTATGTGTTTTGCTTCTGTTTTACATGTACTTCCTAAGCTTGTGTTAAAAATCTCCCTTAATTAGATTTTACTGTAACATTGCTTCTTTATGACTTATTTCCCAGGACAAGGCTTTGTATATGAAACAATTATAAAGGGTCTTAGGCTTAATTGGATCTTCATATTTTAAAATAACTGGATGGGTCCTTGCACATGTGTTGGCCAAAATGCTTGTGTATGTAAGCAAGTAGCTATAATGTGTATACAGAGGGCCACCTCATAGTATTTTCCTTGCTGTTGTAGCAGGCCAGAGGGACAGCAGGCAGTAGGAATATCTGCAAACCTGCACTGCAGAAACCCACTCAGTAGAAAATATCAGGCCCAGGATCAGTGTGGCTTGGGAAGCTGTGGCATTGTGTGTGGTAGGTGCCATGGAAACATCTCCTGCTGGTAGCTCAGCCCTCAGCTTGTGCAAGGTGCCTCCACAGGGAAGTGCTGGCTGCGAGGAGCCCTTTTTTACTACGAGTTAATTTCTACCTTCCACCAGCTCTGGAGGGAAACCACTGATTAAGGTGATGCCTAGCAATTACACCATGATAAGTTAATTGCAGAGGAACAGCCCAGTGGCTGCAGCTAGCTGTGGCCAGGCTGCACGGCTTTGTGGAGGGGAAGAAAGGTGATGGTGCCTTGGAGCAGCACAGCTGAAATACTGGCACTCTGCTGCAGCCTGACATGGGAGCAGGCGCCTCCCTTTCCATTTGCGTAAGTGAACTTAAATCTGGCTGCTTGGCTCCTTTCTCACACCCTTCCTCCTTTCTGAGAAGGCTGAGGGGCTGCTGCATCTGAGAAGGGAAAAGGGAGGGATTGACAGTCACGGTGCACAGATATTTTAGAGGCTTTTTGTAACACCTTGTAGCTGTATACAAAAATGCTGTAAAATATGTTTGACACGTGCTGATATTTGTTCTTTTTAGATAACTATTCATGCTGTAACACTAAAATCACAGTCTAAGCTTTCCTATGTACTGAAAGAGCAAAATGGCCTGGGGTGTTTCGAGTGCTGTGTGTGATTTTGCCATGGCAGCAGGGCTGGCCTGGAGCTCCAGCTCATGGCTTTGCTGCAGGCGTGTGTGAAAAACAGCTTCACTACAGCAGTTCAGCTTCAAACCCATGGGAAAATCTTTTCCTTTTCCTTCTGAAAACATAATAATAAAAAACACTGAAAAAGAGGCTGGTTTGAGATGATGCTACCAAATAAAAAAAAAAAATACCATTTAGATACTGTTTAAATAATCCTAGTGCAGAAATGGTAAATCCAGGTGTTCTCGGTTTGGCCATTTAGATACTGTTAAATAATCCTAGTGCAGAAATGGTAAATCCAGGTGTTCTCGGTTTGGACTTCTGCTCTCATTGCCTGGTAGGTACGTGAGGGCAAAATACAGCTATTGTTGTGGGTCATGGCACCTCCTGTAAGGCAAGCAGGGGGCTTAGGGGAGGTGGGAAAGAGGGCAGGGCAGCCAGGACTCTCTTCCAGAGTGCCGGGTAGAATTTCCCCTTTTTTAAAATATTCCTGAGGAATATTTTTATTAAATGCATAGTTATTATATTTATTTTAAAAATCGATCTAAGCATCTATTTAGAAATATCTTTTTAAACACTCTCAGGTGGCCCTGAGGGGCTGCAGAGCCGGCTGTGCCCACCCGGGGCAGCCCTGCCCTCACAGAGCCCCTCAGCCGCCCTCAGGGACGGGACCCCCACCAGAGCCCACAAACTCCCCAGCCCACGCCCTGCTAGGATGGAAAAGCAGCTTCCTTCATCAGGCAGGATGAAAAGTGCAAGCTGTTTGTGATTTCTTATGCTTTTGCATCAGTTGGAAGAAACATCACAAATTTGGAATAACGGGGTGAGCAGAAAGGAACCTCTTCCGAGGCTTGTGCCATGGCTGCTGCTTAAATTCCACTTCTGGTTCCTTCATAATCCTGCGTTTTTTATCCTAAGGAATTAGGTAGAAATTCGCACACTTCATGGAGTTGGAACACTGTGCACCAGCACAGGGTCAGATTTTTCCTGACTTTTGGGGCACTTTTGAGGGGTAGTGACCCCTCTCTGTCCTAAACACCTCATCTGCCTCAATACAAGGCCGCATTTTCCCTGAGTATTTTCCCTGACTATAGGTCCCTCAGCTGCCCTCAGGGACGGGACCCCCACCAGAGCCCACAAACTCCCCAGCCCACGCCCTGCTAGGATGGAAAAGCAGCTTCCTTCATCAGGCAGGATGAAAAGTGCAAGCTGTTTGTGATTTCTTATGCTTTTGCATCAGTTGGAAGAAACATCACAAATTTGGAATAACGGGGTGAGCAGAAAGGAACCTCTTCCGAGGCTTGTGCCATGGCTGCCGCTTAAATTCCACTTCTAGTTCCTTCATAATCCTGCGTTTTTTATCCTAAGGAATTAGGTAGAAATTCGCACACTTCATGGAGTTGGAACACTGTGCACCAGCACAGGGTCAGATTTTTCCTGACTTTTGGGGCACTTTTGAGGGGTAGTGACCCCTCTCTGTCCTAAACACCTCATCTGCCTCAATACAAGGCCGCATTTTCCCTGAGTATTTTCCCTGACTATAGGTCCCTCAGCTGCCCTCAGGGACGGGACCCCCACCAGAGCCCACAAACTCCCCAGCCCACGCCCTGCTAGGATGGAAAAGCAGCTTCCTTCATCAGGCAGGATGAAAAGTGCAAGCTGTTTGTGATTTCTTATGCTTTTGCATCAGTTGTTGGGGTAGGAAATTTGGAATAACTGGGTGAGCAGAAAGGAACCTCTTCCGAGGCTTGTGCCATGGCTGCCGCTTAAATTCCACTTCTAGTTCCTTCATAATCCTGTGGTTTTTATCCTAAGTAATTAGATATAAATTTACAAATTTCATGGAGTTGGAAGGCTGTGCACCAGAACAGGGTCAGGTTTTTCCTGACTTTTGGGGTGCTTTTGAGGGGTAGTGACCCCTCTCTGTCCTAAACACCTCATCTGCCTCAACACAAGGCCCCATTTTCCCTGACTTTAGGGGTGAGGGGGCTTTACTGGAGTTTACCCCGTCACAGGTCTCATCTCAGCTCTACAGAAAAATATTAGTAAGAATATACAGTAGAAATAAAACCTGTACTAAGATGCTACAAAGTTGTAGATCTTTGGAGGTTAAAATAATAAAAGCCAGTCACTGTTTACCACTTGCTGTTTTTATTCCCCAGCAATCATTCTCTTCTATACAAGTTAGGCACACAACAAATAAGGTTTCACCAGAGCTGCAGTTCAGCAGAGAAGGAAGCACATTTGGTGTTCCTCTGGAAACCCTTGTAGAGGACGCAGAGGAATGTGGGGTTCCTTCTCTTGTGACACAGATGGTGGAGTACCTAGAGGTATTTGGTAAGTTCATATTTTTCCTGTTTGGCTTCTGGAAACCGATATTCTTTGTTTAAGCTTTACTTTTCAGCTGTAAATGCTGGGAAATCCTTATTTACTATTATTGGGCTTACTTAAAGGAGCTCTTGCTTTTTGAACTCCATTTCTCATCACAAAGATGTGGTAATGCAAACAACCACTGCTTACTGTTCTGTATTTCTTACACAGGTCTGGAGCGTGTCGGTATATTTCGGGTTGGTGGCTCAGCAAATAAAATCAAGGAACTGAGGCAGAAGTACAATCAAGGGGAAAAAGTAGACCTTATTAATGATGGAGATGTTGATTCTGTGGCCAGTCTCCTGAAGCTCTTTCTGAAAGAACTACCAGTGGCTGTTTTTCCAGACAATATTTGTTCTGGCTTGTTAAAAACTTTCCAAGGTACAGAATGGGCACTTTCCAAGCCTCTGTCCATTCCCTGACAGTGACAGATAATGTGTTCATCACACTTTCTATAAACAAGGTTTTGTGTTTCCTGAACCTGAAGCTGATGTTTAATTGCTTTGGAGGGACCAGGCATCTCTGAACTTGTCTACAGTCTTTTTAAAATTCATTAAGTCTTTTGGATTCCCTTCCTTCCTGTGGCAATGAATCCTGCAATCCAATCCTGTTTTCTTTGAGAAAGCTCTTCTTCTGCATGCTTTCTTTTTTAAATTGTATACCATACTAATTACTGAGATAATATTTTTAGTTTTAATGCAATCACCACCGTAATGCTCTTGTGTCTTTATATAGCCGCTGCCTCACTTCTCTCTTTTCCAAGATGAAGCCTCTTTTTTATTTAACCTTCCCTGTTAAAGGAGGTTTTTCTGCACATCACTCTTCTTATTCAGAACTGTATTTTTAGTTAGCATTTATTTTTCCAGTCCTCTTATAATCTTGAACAGCAGTGTGTGGAGCAGCATGCAAAGCCCAGAGCACCCCAGAGCCCGCTGCCTGTTCCCCATTCATGCCTGCAGTGGCTGAGCTCTGCTCTCAGTCTGCCCGGTGATTCTGACTGGTAGCTAATTCAGGTGTTTGCATACAAATAAGTGGGTTTTGTGGGTTACTTTGCAGGCTGCTTTTGTTCGAAGTGCCCGTGTAGGAGTTTACAAAGAAAGTGAAAGGAAGCAGTTTTATGAACTGTGAAAGTCTATGCGGAACGACCTATGGAGCTTGTTATGAGCACCTTGTTTTTTCTGCCCTAGACAGTCTTGCTGTTATTTTTTAAAGTTATTTTTTCCTCTTTGTCCCCTTTTCCATTTCACTCATTAATCAGTTGAGCACCATGGGCCTTGGCCTGCGCAGAATGTGTTTTTTCGGGCTAAAATTACCCTCAAGGGCATGATTTGCTTATAGGCAGTGTCAAAGCTACGCAGATGTGTCCTGGTGATCTATGGCAAATTTGAGCCTCAGCTGCCAATTATTGAGCAGTACTGTCATCTCAATTCCAGTAACCAGGAGAATTTATCCTACTGATACGGAACTGCTGATCAAATGGAGTTGTTTGTGAACCCATTTTCTGCCTTGTTACCCTTCTTTGAAGAATAAGAACCAAGAAAATGTTAAGTATCCCCAATTTAGAATTTTAAGCATCTCTTGTGTAACTGCAGTTGCATATTTATAGAGCAAAGATGTTTTGAGTCTGAGTGCTACCAATTAGTCAGGAAATGAAGATGATGTGGGGCTGAAAGGCTACAATTTCTCATTCCTCTTAATGAGAATCATACAGCATGTATAAAATCTCTTGGGAGAGTCAAGGCTGACAACCTTGTACTGTCTTTCAAGGCAGCTTTGAGGATTCAGGTACATGACTCCTGCCTCCAATTTCATTAGGAAAGCAGCAAGTGCTGGATGATTCTGCCTTAAGAGGAAAAATATCAGAAACAGTGAGTGTAAAACTAAATATCTGGAAAATCTATGGTTTTAAAATATTCATAAGTGAAAAACATATATCAAAATTTAGTGTACAAAATCCTTGAGACCTATTTATTCTTTCTTTTGTTCTAATATATTTTAAAATCTTCCTTCTTACTTATATCTAATGTCTGTAATGAAATTGTGTTGATATGAGGATGTCTGTGTTATAAGTTTGGTGGTTTTTGTTTGGTTTTTTTTTTCCCCCAGAGCACAAAATCAACACAACAGAATGCATAGAGAACCTGAGACAGTTGCTCAGCTGCCTGCCCAAAGCCCATCAAAACCTTCTCCAGTTCCTGTCTGCTTTCCTGTTAAAGGTAGCAACCTACAGTGCAGTGAATTTCATGACTCTGGAAAACCTGGCCATCGTGTTTGGACCTGCTCTGTTCAAGTGAGTCCTCTCTATTCAGCTGCCTCAAACAGCACAACAAGGTCACACCTCACAGGGAGGCTTTCTGTCGTAACTCTGTGTCCAATAGACAGTGGAGCATTTTGTAAGTTCAGTGTTTATAGGGTGTATTGTGGGCAGATGTGGCAGGTTCTGAGCTGGCTGATCACTTCCATTCTGTTGGGCACTGACTAGACAGGGCAAGCCTCAAGTAAGAAACCATATGAAGAGACATGAGGGACAGAGAGCTGTTTAGTGACAACCACTTCATTTTCTGAGCCAAGATAAGTGCTGGCTCTGGGGGCTACTTAGTTGTTGGATTGGATTCTGAAAAGCTCGCCCCCACTTTGACCTTGTAACAGCATTTGATATCAGAGAGATGAATCCCTGTTATCAAGAATGAGTTGCTTCTCTTTCTGCCCTTGCCGCTTAAATTCAAGTTCATGTCCAAGCAGAGCTTGGAAGCAGTGAGAGCTTGGCTGGAGTGTGGGGTGATGGTGAGTGGGCACAAAACTGGAAGCTAAAAACGAGGGGTGGGACTCCATGCCATGCAAGTCAAGGTGATAAGGAACAGCCTTAGATCAGATCAAATAATGGAGGATTTTCCCTTTCACTGTTGACACTAGAGGATGTTAAAATACCTGTTACAACTGGTGAATCTTTGTTCTAGTGGATCACAGCCATGCCAGGTTAATATGAACTATAAGGCAATGACACTTTACTAAATATATTTATTAGCCATTAATATCCTGCATGCAGTAAAAAGGCCTTGTTATTCACTTGGGTGTTTTATGGCTAGCCAGGTTAATTTTAAAAGTATATACTCAGCAAAATTGGTGCCCACCATCAATGACAGGCTTTGTTTTGTGGAAATGGACTGTTAAGCCTTGCTGCTGTTTCATAGGTCTCTATATGTGGTCTCTGTTTTCCTGCTCTGTGGGTTTATTACCAGGTCTACCAGAATTTGACCTTTGGATATGATACAAGTTTATATCTTTAACAAAAGCACAGAAAGGGAAGTGAATCTAACAAGATGTAGTGTGGTTGGAATTATGCCACTCTGTCCTCTGGGAAAAAAACCTCACCATGGAGGATATTCAGCAATGCAGTTCTTCAACCAGACCCCAAGCTCCTTAATATCTGAATACTAAAATCAGTAAATGAGTGGAGAGAGATGAAGTTTATTTATCAGTGTTTAGAGTAGTTCTGTGGTGATACTTATGAGCATTGGCTGATGCTAAAAGGCCTTCACCAAGGCTTCTATCCCTTGGCCCCCACATTAACTCAAAAAGCCCTTCACTGACTGTCACTTTTCTGCCATCAGATGAAATTTGCTCTCACCTGGGGCTTCTGTGCATGCACATGCATGCAAGAAGACTTTTTCCCTTTATCTCCATTCCAAATTATCCCAACGTATGCCCACTGATTCCTGTGCTGCACATAAGAATCCGGCGTGCTCCCTTATTGATTGATGAGCTGCTTCAGTTTTTAAATATCCCACTCTTCTGGGACACGGCCCAGCTCCTTCTGAACATGTGCCTTTGCCTGCTTTTAAAGTACATTCAGTGCTAAACTGAGCACTTGTGGCAATGACCTGTCTGAGAAGCCTTGAAGGCAATCAGCACAGAGTTTCCCTGCCAGTGACCTGTCATGACAACAGCTACCATAAATAGAAGTATGTCTGCCCTATAAATGTTATCTTCAGCTCTTCCCAGTCATTCTGATCTCACCAGCTCTGGGAGACAACCCAATAAATCTGGAACTCAGGTTTTTTTGGGGTTTTTTTGTGTTTAGGTTTTTTTTTTTTTTTTTTTTGTAAAACATTTAACACCATGGTGCTGTGCTTGAGTTACCTCCCAGGGCTGTGAAAAATCACCTTTTTGGTACTTGGGCGGAGAGGAGAGCATTGAAACTGGCACTGTCAGTGAGATTGCTCTGTACCACTTCCTGCTGAGTGACCTGAGGCCTTCAATGATTCAGAATAAATCATTGGAATTGTCCTGTACAGCAGCAAAATTCAAGGTAGTCAGCTGTGGCAAATCATATCTGCTGACACAGGGGAAAAAGTCATAAATATCCTTTATGTCTTTCAGAGCAAGAATTAGTGCAATTATCTGGCACATTATGAAACATTTGGCAGCCTGTGTGTAGGAAATTGGGACATGTTGGGTAGTACTTGCTATAGTTGTTCAGTGTAAATGTGAAGGTTATGGGAAAAAAACCCCCTGCTTCTAGATCTAATCTGCAGAAATGTGTGCTCCAGGCAATTGCTGGAATTAACCTTCTGGAGGTAATGGCAGCTCCTCATACAGTATAAATTCATTGCAGTGTTAAAACTGTTCTTCATATATCCTGGCAATCTGCATTTTTGTGAAATTACTTCTTCGTTCTTTGACATTGAACAACTAAACAATGTTGTTTATGAGCCTTTTTACTTTTAATTTCTTACCTATTTATATTCAAGTGTAAATTCTGTCTATGATTATCACCTATCTCAATATTTTGGCACTTATTTGTGGAGACCTGTCATGTTGTAGTTTCACTGAATTGACTGAGTAGGAATATTCTGTAGTTACAACATGGAACACTCTTGGACCTTGGGACCACAAAAGTAGAATATTCAACTTTGTACATTATAAACCTAAACTGCACACACTTTGTGATTTGTAGCTATGGTTATTGTAACACAAAAATTATAAGGCTTAGCACAGGTATTATATTGAAAATCTAGTTAGAGGATCATGGAAAACTCCTGATTTTGCCCTCGTAAATGCCCAGGAGAACATGTTGCTGCGCTTTTATGAGAGATCCGACTGATGTTACTCAAATTTCCATGGATACTTTGTTATGCTTCATCTTGGTAAAGAGATTTTTAGTTCTGGCACCAGTAAGCAATTCTTGCATGAGTGCGCAAGGACTCCAGCCAGCCAGCTGTTTGCTTCCACTCACTTTGACTCATTGTTTCTGTAAATTTGCAGCAAGCCTGTGGCAGCAGAGAACCTTGGCAGATCTCCTGGACAAAGCCAAGGCAAGGGACTTGCGTGGACTTTTTAGCCTGCACTTAGTGACAAAGCAGCTTTGAAACATCTAGACTCACTCAAGAAAACCAGTAGCTAATTCCTGATGGTCAAGCTTTACTTGTTTCTTATTCACAGTGAGTGTTCTACTGGGATTTGTACTGGAACAGATTACAGAGATTTTGTAGGGAAGCGCAGAATACACCTCAGTAGCTCTGATCTTCCTAGGATCATGTGCCTGGATTTAGCAGTGGGGGAACCTGGCTCTCCTTTACTATCACCCCAATAAGTTTCTGGTAGCAGCAGAAGTATCCGAATAGACAGGAAGTGATTATTTCACAAAATTAATTGAAAGTCATTGTGGAAGGTGGCTGAAGAGAAAACTAAGAGTGCATTCTCTATATTTGGAATGCACACCTGTTGCCACCCATGAATATCTGCTGATGAGACTTTGATATTTGGAGTCAGCTGTCTCATCCCAGTCTATAGTTTAGCTCTGTTTTAGGAGGGAATGAGAACTGGCCACTCAAACACAGGCTTCTAATAAGAGAAAGGAGGACTCAATGAGTTGTCTGAGAACCATTTATCTTCCTGAATAGCCTGTGCAGTTCTCCTTCTGGTAAGGAGTTAACAGCTGGTAGAGGTGGATTCAGGAACAGATGTCTAAGCTAATGAAAGAAGCTGAAAAAGAAGACAAAGGACTAAAAATATTGCTCGTCTGGCCTGTGAGCTGAGGGTGTTGATGTTTGAGTAAGTGATGAATAATCTCTTAGGATTGTTGTATGCAGCAAAGGCTATTGCTCAGTCAACCAGGTTTTACAAGCAGCCTTGTTTATTGTGGAGAAACTGAGTCGGCCCCAATAAAAATGGGAATGCAAGAAAGGGAAATGTTAACTAATCCTAAAGAAGGAACTGATGACACAGTGGTTCATCCTGTAAATCCCTCTATGCTGTACCTGGCTATAACTCTGTTTAAATCTTCTGCTTCCAAAAGGAGCCCAAACTTAAGTCCTTACAGAAACAACAGTAAGTTTACAGAAGAGGAACACAAATGAAATCAATTGGACTGGGCCCAATGTGTATATTTGTACTTTAAAATTGCAAATGAATAATGAATGTACTCATTTGGCAAACAGAAGACTGGTGTATTCATGCTCCACATTAGTCTCCAGAGTTTATGAATTTCTTGTTTAAATATTAATGTTGTGCTGGGTGTAACTGAGTTGGTGCAGCATGGCTGGAGAAGCCCCATTAAGGGCACAGCATTTATGTAAATGTTCTCCAAGCTTCCAAATAGTTGGCAGGGGGGAATACACAAGTCCTTCAGGGGCTGGAATTAAATCCTATATAAAGAATCCTTTCAATTAAATTATTCTGACTTGACGGGGACAGTAAAAATACAACTACTATTCATAAAAAACCCAAAAATATGGGGAGATCAAGCAAGAAGCAAAAAAAACCCAATCCAAACTCAACAGGGTTAATGGGAACATCTGGAATTTCCACTTGCTGATATGTCTGATGTCTGTGGATTTATAAATTAATGCACTGAAGCAGTTTGTTACCTGTGGTGACCTGTGAACCTATTTCCGGACAGTTCTGGTAATAAGACATTCTAGTGATCACAGCTCACCTTCATAAATGAAGGCAGAACAAACCCACTCTTTCCACCCCAATGCCAGTGAGCAGTGGCAGATTGATAAGGTGCTACTTTTTTGCCTGTCCTTTTCACCCTTATTTTGCAAACCTCGTGTCTGAGTTCCTGTCAGCTTCTACCTCCTTTGCTGTGCTGCCACAAAAACTTACTGTGTTGTGAACCTTTGCAGCAAAGCTGGGGCTCTGTCCCTGTGGAGGTCCTGTGTTGTGAACCCACCAAGCTCCCGTGGTCACTGTCCCAGCAATTGCTGCTTCCCTGAATTACCTTGGCTGCTGGGAGGGCTCCCTGTGTCAGCCATCACCAGCCTCTGATCTGAGAGCTCCTAAGATTAATCCATCTCCTCTTCCTTTAGGATTCCTGTCAGTCCCTTGGCTTGTGAAGAACAAAGGCTTTACAATGGCCTCCTGCTGTATTTGCTCCAACACCAAGAGATGCTTTTTGTTGGCCTGGACCCTTGCTTCTCACACAGACAAGCAGATGGCCTTCAGGTAAGAAAGTTGCAGCCAAAACTCAAAAGTGCTTCATTAGGTTGAAATCCAGGACTGGAAATACATTTGCTTATACATAGTGTAATTAATGACTGTAGTTTGTAGCCAACAATGTAAATATTCATGATATACCTAAGCTGGAGAGGAAACATGAGTGTTAAAATTCTAATTTGAAAAAAAAATGCAGGTGCAAAAGCAAAAGGTCCAGAATAAAATCCCAAGTTGTTCTACTTTAAATATATTAATGCCAAGCTTTGTTAGATCAAAGCCACTGGATTTTTCCTTGAGTGAAACACATTTTATTTTGTGTGTGCTTTTGTCTATACATTGATGATGCAGGAAAGCAAAATCAGAAGGACAGAAACCCCTCTCTTATTTTTTAGAACTCATTCTGTGTGTTCCAGCCTCTCCTTGGGCATTTTATTTCATAAAACATTGTTAGCACTTTGATTCCTTTTTTGCCTCTTTGTTGAAAACCTCGTGGTGGAAGAAACACAATAGACAAATCCTGGTTTAGAGAGAGGGTCAATATAAATCTTGTTTTCACTTTGTGATGTGGTGTATCATTGCTGCTTAACTTGAAATTGATTTTTGGAAAAAGACGTGAAGGGAATTTAGCAAACCCTGCAGTTTAATGCTTCACAGTGCAGTTTTGTTATCCTTGAGGTTCATGGTGAGGCTGGCAGCAGTGTGCCAGGTCAAGTGATGGACTGTGGAAGGGATTAGCACTGCATGTAAATGTGGGTGATGATGTTTGTGTTCATGATTCCTTAATTTTCTGCCTTCTTTCTCCAAATATCCCTGTTAAGGAAAGCTAGCAGACTTCTAATACAAAGCCAAAGTCAGTACTTAGAACATATTACAAAGAGAATATTAGGACTGTAATGCTCCTTGGAAGCTTTCTCTGAAAACAAAACATGTACAGACACAGGTATAAAGAACAGGCCGTACTGATAAAAGGATGTTTCTAAAATATTGCTTCAATGCCTCAAGATGTGACCCCAAATGTAACACTAGGATTGTTTCATACTAAGACAGTGTTGAGCCCATGCTCCCAGCTCCCCTTTCTCTCTGAAGTAGTCCCATGTCACTGCCACCTCTGGGAGTTTCTGAAACCAGTACTCAAATGAGCACACAAAATAAAAATATTGGCTGTCCCAAGACATCTGCTTCTGTTTGCAAAGCTAGAGGAAGCATCAGCAGCTAAAAGAAATTGGAAAGGTATTAGAGAAGCCAGGAAATCAGGCTTTCACTTGCAGTGCTTTTGTTTTAGAACTAGCTTCACTCTGTGTAATTCTGCAAAATGTCACAGTCTGTCTGGAATTGTGGTGATGTGGGAAAGAATTCTGCTGAAAAGCTGCTTTCAAGTTCTTTATTAAAGCCTCAGACAAGGCATAGCCATGGGGCACTCTCCTGCTCTGAGGTAAGCTTATGAAAGAAATCCCATCTGTGGGTGAGAAGGGAATTCAGTATTCTGTGGCTGATTTTGTTTTTGTAATTTTTGGCAGGAAACACAGCACATTGGATAGGTACCCTTCATCTTCCATAATATAACAATTGCTCAAGGTCCACTAAACTAGAAACATCAAAGTTAGGTTTACAAACTAAACATATTAAAAGTCCATGTTTTTCTTCCAGTAAAACAAGCAAAAAGTGAAATGGCAAACCTGGCTCAGATTCCTTGTTGCGTCCTGGAAATGAAACTTGTTTTTACTGGCTTTTGCACAGATACTTGCCTTTGGACTACTTAATTCCTCTGATTTTGTTGTTGGGTTGTCTTTTTTTCTTTTTTTTTCCATTTCAACATTTTAAAGTTAACCTGAGCTCTGTCAAGCTAAAGCCATGCCAATCTGGCAGGCCTGCCATACAGCTGACAAGACTTAACCCTCAGTTGTGTTCTTTGTGGCCTGAAATGGGCAGAGGGATTGTTCTGAGCCGAGTTCTTAGTGCCTCAAAGTTCCAAGAGCTATGCCGCTGGCACTGTGTGCTCTGGCTGATTCAGACTGGGAGAAGAAGTTTTGGATTTAAGTTTTTTGGATGGTTCAGAACTATTATCCTAGGCTGGACAGTAGGCTATTCACAGCCACCAATTATATATAAAGACAGTGGTTTAAAGTTATATCCCAGCCATGATGTATCGATGTATTTTAACTTTTCAAACTTTTTTCCTGTATGTTGTTCAGATATTTTTCACCCTTAAAATAGAGTCAGAATGCTGCAAAATCCTACCAGACTGGGGGTTTGTGTCTCTGTGTGGGTTTTCTTAAATACATTTTATTTAAATTATTATTCCCCCCCCACCCCCTTCTCCTGAGCATTCACTAGCATTTAAAGTTGTCCTTTAATATTTTGTCCTAGCCCAAAAGCTGCACTGGTACTAAACTGATTTTCATGTTTGGATTAAATAATTATTTTAAAAGAGGTTAGGCACCACATTTTCTGTTTTCACCTGAGGCATTTCTAATAACTGTGTTTAACCCAAGGAATATCAATAGCTGTGTTGGAGGTATGCAAGATTATCTTAACTTCTGTAGTGTAATTTAATTATGAACCAAATCTTGCTAATAGCAATTTGTCATTTCTGCATCTTACATTTCAGATAAAAGTTGAATATGGATTTTTTTTTTTTGTTTGCATCTAGTCCAAGAATGTGTTTCTGCATCTCTCATCTTGTACAGAAGTCATAAATGAATCCTTCCTGATTTAGGCACACAACCTTTGTCCTGCAAACAAACAGGAGCATGACTTTATGGGTGCCTACAAGCCACTGCTTGTATCCCCTTTAAAGCATGTGTTTGGTTAGGAGAAATGCCTACAACCTGAGGAGAGGAGTCTCATTTCTTGTTCTCTTCTCTTACTTTGTCCTTTCATGCATACTTCACTATATATCAGCAAGGCTGCTCTCTACAACTTTAGAACCCTATTTTGAAGGGATTGCAGAGATCCAGGGGGGTGGGGAAGTGGAGCTGGGCAATATCCTGGGCCTACAGGTTGACCACAGACAACTCTGAATGAAAATCTGAAACTGTAGTGTGGTTTGGAGCTGGTCAGAAGAGGGCAACTAAATATTTCATGGATACTTTGTCTGCTCGAATTATGGCTTTATTGAGAAGGCTTTTGTGGTCTGGAAAGCTTTGTTAATCTTGTGGGTTTAGCTTTTTTCCAAGAGGATATGGAGGTTTCAGCATTAACTCCGTTCTGCAAAAAAATGTGGTTCCTCACTTGCATGGGAAGTCGTCATAAAATAGAATTGTGGTCTCTCAAATGGAATATCCTCAATGCGGAGGACAGCAATAATTTAACTGATGTTTTACTTTGATAATCCCACGACAATTCTTGTTGAATTAGCTGAAACTTTTCAGAACAAATGAACAACCCACCAACCAGACATTATCTCACTATTTGAAGTTTCCAGGTTAGACTAAATTGTCTTGTCAAAATAGTTTTTCCTGGGTAGGAGAACATAGTTCCATTTCCTATTTGTAGAAGTGTCAATTACTTTCTTTCATTTAATTTTTTTCCTTAACAGTGGTATGTTTTAGTTGGTTTTGGGTGTGAACATAGCAAACCCTGCATGTACCATGTGAAGTGTCAGGAGATTTGTCAGTGTATCTGTGGGGATTGCTGTTACATTATTGAAGGACGTGTTAATATTATTTCCCATTCCACAGAAAAACTCCTTTCCATAATTTTTGTAAATTTGCTAAAATATGGACTCATTAAACACTACATTTTAATTTTCTGTTTGAGTACTGGCCAAACCAGAAGGCTGGATGAAAAATGCCATTTGTAGAGGTCAAAGTAGGCAGACCCTATGCTCCCACAAATATTGTGGCCAATAAATTGTAAAGATGTATTTCTTCTCTTCAGCAAAAGCACAGCAGAGTGTTACTGACTGTGGGCATAAGGATTTGATAAAAACTGCTGTAGGCTGGGGAAGTTTGACTTGAAACAGCTCAAATGGATGTGGCTGGAGTACTCATTACTCCTTCTAGGGATTCAGTGCCAGAGCCTTGCTGCCTGTGGCTGGAAGGAATAGAGCTTCGCTGTGCTGAGCCTGTGGTCTGCAGCAGCCTGGCCTTTGTACTGCAGATCTGGAACTTGGAAACTTGGAAAGGATGAGTGTGCCTGCTCTCCCCTTGTGGGGAACTGCAGCGTCTGGAGGAAATGTCACTGATTTAATGTTTGCTTCAGCAGTGCTGGGGGTTTCTCTTGCCTTGCTGGACAACTCCTCTGGGACACTGCTGCCACACTTCAACCCCCCAGCTGGGTTGTACTGCTGTCTAGTTTTCTCTCTTTTTCCCTTCCCAGTACACAGAAGTGTTGAGGTGATTTTGTTTTTTCTGGTACGAGGAGAGAAGCTTGGCAAGAGAGGGTGTGCCCTGTGTGGCAAATGAGGCCACCACTTTGCTGTAACCAGCAGCTCTCACACAGAGCAGGGGAGCTGCTCAAGCTGAAATGCTGAGGCTTTACTGCAGTTGGTGGTACAAGAACAGAGCTCGGGCAGCACCATGAGCTGCTCACACTGAGCACTGGCTGTTGTTCCATAAGGATCCAAAGTGCATGAGAGGGGAAGGTCTTTCTAAAACTGGTAACTGGTACAGGCCTTTCATGGCTTGGGAAATGATTTTGAAGGCAGACTGGGCACAGAAACCAATGCACTGGAGTCTCACCTTTGTTACTTATTCTGTGAATGCCCATCTTCAGTCTGGCTGAGAATGGAGCACATCAAAAGCTCTCACCACAATCAGACTTACAGAACCTGTATAGATACAGGTGAAGGATGTTTATCTGCAGTTTGTGAAGGGGAGCAATACCTGATTTACTCATGGCAGCAGCAGCCAGTTGTTTTGCCCACAAACATCAGCTACACTGCAAGGAAGAGGATTATAATTAATCTGCTGTGTACCCACTAGAATAACACAAATCTCTGGTTTCAGAGGATGTGTGTGGTCTTCCTCTGATGCTTAAAACATTTACCACAACACCTGGCCCAAGTC